TTAGGGGCCCACTCTTTCACTGCCAGGACCCTGGATTTGATCCCTGGTTGGGGAACTAAGATCCCGCAAGCCACCAGGCACAGCCAAAAAAAAAAAAAAAAAAAAAAAAAAGAAGCGGCAAATTCTGCCAATCCTGCCCTGCCCACCCTCATCCATCACCCGTGACGGTTCCCTGAGGCAGCGCTCTCAATAGCCCTATTTCACAGACGGGAAGCTGGGGCTCAGAGTGACGAGACCACTTGCCCAAGGTCACTCATCTAATAAATGGCTGAGCTGGGATTTGAACTCAGGTCTGACTGCACAGCCATGCTCGGTTTCACTCCACTGCACCGACTGATGAGTCGCTAGGCCAGATTCTAATAAATAGACCCTGATGGGCACCAACTTGGGAATGGAGTGGTTCCGACTGGGGTGATGCAGTGGAGCAGTTGGGAAAGTGCACTCTCGATTCAAACCACAGCTCGGCCACTGACTTAGCTGTGAGATAAATCTCTCTAAAGCTCAGTTTCCCCATCTGACAACGTGGGAGTAATAATGGCCACATCATAGGAGGGTGGCGAGAAGAATCTGAGAGAATGCAAGTGAAAGCGTGCTGTAAATTGTGAGGGGTGATGTACATTAGAAGGTGTGGATTCCAGTGATAACGATGATTAGAATGACAGTGTGATCGCCACTGCAGGCAGAGCCGCATTGTGACAGTGCCCACTGGCCTGACTGAGACCCCATTCGTATCTCAGTGCTGAGGCGATGTGAACCTTCCCTAGTGGACAGTGAATGCCCTGTGGACGTCCACACTGAGCAGTGACACAAACTCTAAGTACATTTCTGCCGGGGCTCAGCTCATTGGAGCCTGAAGGTTTGGGCTGAGGCCCGGATCTCTTGAAGCAAAGTGAGAAGCTCCTTGAATCTCTAAGCAAAGACTCTGCTTCACCTCCCGGGTTCAAGGACACCCTAGTGCAGGGGGTGGGGAGGGTAGACTTTGCATCCAGTGTCTGCCTGCGCCCCGGCCTCTTCTCTGGACCCTTCCTTCCCCCTCCCCCCAACTCACTGCTGCAGTGGGGACGGGAGTGCGGGCTGCAGAGGGTTTGGCAGGCTGGCCATTGGTAAGCTACGCAGGCGCCGGCTGCCACCTCAGCTCTCTCTTACCCCCGCACATGGGGGAGCGGGGCCCTGTGTAGAAGAGCCCAACACCCGGAGTTCGAAGACCTGTAGGAGTTCTAGCTCTGCCAGTTACGGCAACCTTGGAAAAATCACTGAACCTCTGATCTGGCTTCCTCATTTTAGAATGGCAACTGGGCCGCAGCATTCAACATAGTCCTCCCAAGGAACCCAAACTCGAGGTCCTGGCACAGATAACATCGGGCCATAGGGCCCAGTCACAGCTCCCAGGATGCAGCCAGGATGCCTGGGAAGGGAGCAGTGAGCCGCTCTAGCGCGAAAATCTATGTCTCTCTTGCTGGATTCTCACCCACTTTTGCGGCCCAAACTCAGGGGCAGGGGAGGGAACCATCACATATCACATTGTCAGGGCCTCCTGCAATGAGTTAAAGGTCCTCCAAAGAGGAGATGGGAACCTGCCCTTGATGAATTAGTGAAGAGTTAAGAGATTCTTCTGAAAGGCATTGCCTGAAACTGTGCAGCTCTATTTATTATTTACTTATTTTTTTTCAGCATAGTTAATTTGTACTAATTATTTGAATAAAGAGTATTCTTTTTAAATAAAACTTATAACCGGAGATCAGAGGGAAGGGTTTTTGCAGAAGGGCCATTGGTCCCTGAACTCACACCCACAAACAACCTCAGAGATGAACTTTGAATTGTTATTTCCAAATGAGGTTAGTGGATGACCCCAGAGTTACAACAGCAGGATCAGGGAGATGATGTTTCCCAGAAAACCTTAAGCTTCTGTCTTATTCCCTTATTATGAAGGGGAGACTATGGTTTCTCGTGATAAGGTATAATATTTTGTGTATATTAAAGCCATTAGTTCGTTAAATAAAATATTTTCTTTAAAATATCACAATTTTTATAACCCTATTTGGCATTGAAAAATGTGTCATATGCCTCTGGGAGTGGCCCAGGCCTGTTTCTGCCCTGAGAGACCCTGGGTATAACTTGGGATTGACCATCAGACTCTCAGTTGTCTGTACCCACAGAGAGCCTGGCCAGCTGGCCCACCCACTCATAACCTGAACTGTGCCCACTTACAGGGGAGTTGGGGGCAAATTCTGGGTTTGCAGGTGCATCACTAAGGCAAGAGGTAGCAGCCCCCATCCTGAAATGGCCCCAGGGATCTGGGACGGGCTGAAGTCTCCTGTCCTGTGTATTCTGCCTTCTCAGCCTACTGCTTGTCTTCCCCCCAACTGTGACCTCATGTTATTCCAGAATGAGCTCCTTTCTGGACCCCTTTGGCTTCCGGACCCTCTCTGTTATGGGGCTGGGGGCTGTAAGTGGGGATGGAATGCACTAAGCTGCACCGGGGCTAGGCCCTTCATGGAGGGAGACACTAGCCTCAGGCAGCCAGGAACGGATGCCAGCCCAGCCAAGGGGGTCTTTCAACCATGGCCAGCTTGACCCAGCGGCTTCTGCCCCTTGGGTGCCATCAGATGGGGAGGAAGAGAAACCAAAGACTGGAGGATAAGGAGGCCAGAGTTGCAGAATAGGTCACAGGCAGGAGGCAGAAGGGACTCAGAATTGGGGAAGCTACCCTTCCATTGACCTTGGGGACAGCTGTCAGGGTGGGAGAAAGGTCCCAGGCCTCAGCCCATGCCTGTCAGACTAGACATAAAGGATCCTGTGACCTCTCCCCGCCCCGCCCCTCAACCACCTTCCTCACAATGGGGTTCATTGCTGAGGTGGGAGGGGCATCCTAGGGAGGGTACAGCGGGGGGCCTGCCTGCCAGACAACCTCGGGGAGCCTGTCCTTTCAAGCATGAGCCATACCATCTGGGCTCCCCGACTCCCAGTGTGCCCTTAGCTCTGCCCGCCTGGCGTGGGGTCCTGGAGACCTTCTTGGAGCTCATCCAGCAACCATCGCGCAGGGTGGTGCTGGGGACCGCCCTCTTACTCGGAGGTGGAGGCCTCATGTTGTGGATGCAGAGGAAGAGGAGAAGGAAGACAGATTCTGAGACTGCACAAGACGAGCAGGAACCACCAGAAAGCGACAAAGCAAGGAAGGAGAGCTGGATCAAATCGCACTTTAGCTGTCTTTCCGAAGAGAAGCTGGCTGCCGGCAGCAACCCCACCTGCAGCCACAGCGCCGGGGCCTGCAGCCCCTGCAGCGATGCTGCTGCCCAGCCTGAGAGCGGCAGCGGGGCGGCCAGCACCACAATTCGTGTGGAGACCTTCACCACGAGGCAAGGAGAAGAGGGCACAGCTCTTCACCGGGAGCCCTTGACCAGCAAGCAGAGGATGTCTGGGACCTCAGTGACCAAAGAGACCCACAAGGAGTCTGGGAAATCCTCTTCCACGGATGAGGCCATGTGGGCCGCCGTGGCTGCCTGTACCAAGGAGACTGACACCAAGGGGCAGCAGCTGGCTATCTCCATGTTGCAGCGTGCCACGGCTTGCCAGAACTCAGGCTACCTGGAGTCCGAGGACATCAGCCAGGAGGAGCTGAAGGCCCTCGAGGAGGTGGAGATGAAGCTGAAAGGGAATTTCCTCACACAGCAGGAAACCACCACAGCTGGGGCCAACCACACGCACACCTTCCATAGCCATTGCCACCATGGCCACCAGGGTTATCCAAGCCACCCGAGCCACCCGTGCCACGGCCTGCCGAACAGCAGCCACCAGGCCTACCAGCCCTTTGAAGCCACCTAACCACAGATGGAGATGCCCCTTCCCCCCACAGGGCTGGCACACAATCACAGGCATCCTATGTGGTCCATCTCTCCGATGGGGCAAACTGTGTGGCCCAGATGCTGCTTAAATCCCTTCTTCGTCAGGCCCTCACAGGGGTCCCGGGTCCCTTGGACTCTGTGAGCGGGGTCTGCCACTGATGGCTCCTGATGGAGGGAGAGCTGGGGGGAATTGAAGCAGCTGAGACAGACTCGCAGGCCACGGAAGACCCACCAAGAGAAGATGCGCGAGGCAGATCCCAGGAACAGCCGAGAGCACCACGCTGATGCCAGCTGCCTGGAACTGAGCCAATAAAGCCTTGTATACCCTCACTCTGAGTCTGAGGGCTTTGTGGCCAGCCCCAGGTCTGGGCGGGCCTCTGGGGAGAGGGTTCCTCCTCCCACAGTCCTCCTCGTGTGGGCTGATTAGAGACTCCATAAATCGGCCTCCCGGGTCTCAGTTTCTGGGCGTGGGGAATCTCCAGGGGGCTCAACCGCCACCGACCTGCTGCTACCAAGGAAGGAGGGAGCAGCTGGGAGTTGGGAGGAGTGGGGAGAGACAGGCTTTGAGAAGCCAGGAAGTAAGCAGGGGTGGGATGTAGGTCACCCTGTGTACTACAGCCCTCTCCCTGCCCGCACTGGGATCCGTGTTGGTGCCTCCCCACCACCTACCTTCAGAGCTACTGTGCCATATGCTCTCTTCTTGTTCATGCAACTCTTGCTGGGGCTGCCTCTGTTGCAGTACTGCTAAACTGTAGTAGGATTAGTACTACCAGTAGCTCTGCCCACCTCTTTTTGAGTGTTTAGTATATGCCATGCTCTGTGTTGTGTTACGGCACAGCCCCATGAGGAAGGTACTATGTTATCTCCATTTTGTAGGTGAGGCTCAGAGGTGTAATTTTCCTGAGACGGCCTAGACAGTAAGTGATGTTGCTGGGGTCAGAGCCCAGCTTGGCCTAACTCCAAAGCCCGTACCCCGAACCCCTGCCCTGTGCTGCCCCCGAGTCCGATGCCCATCATCCCCCAGTGGGCCTATCTCTCTTATACTTATCCCTGTCCTCTTCCCACATGTCCTGACACTCGCTGTGCCCTCCAGCAAGCCTGGGACTCTCCTTGCCTCCTCTTCCTGGGTTTCACAAAGCCATTTCTGGAGCAAGCAGTGACCCCCAGTTAGTTAACGGGAGGCAGCTCTCTCCCCCATGAAACTTGAGAGAAGTCAGCTACATGGCACTGTCTAACCTCCAGTGTCTCCTTTAAGTAGAAATTTCTTACCATTTGCATCTATTATGGATTTACCAGTGGTTCCCAACCTGTGGGCCTCCAACTCCAGGAAGAAGGTGCCCAGAATCATTGCAAAGGATGGGTAAATCTATAAACACCCTAAATGTTGTCAACTGATTTTATGGAGCACAGTTGGGAGTATTTGAATATTTTTGACATTACTAATAAGTGACTTTATATAAATGTTGATTGTGTGTGTGTGTGTGTGTGTGTGTTTGTGTTTGTGTGTGTGTTTGTGTGTGTGTGTGTGTGTGTGTGTGTGTGTGTGTATTTAAAGTACTTCATAATAGGGACCTCCCTGGCGGTCCAGTGGTTGAGACTCCGCGCTTCCCCTGCAGGGGGCGCAGGTAAGATCCCTGGTTGGGGAGCTAGGATACCCCATATGCCGCACAGCGCAGCCAAAAAAAAAAAAAATGTACTTCATAATAAAAATCTTAGTTGGAAAAAAAATGGGGTCAATCATACTGGAAAATGTTGGAAGCTGCTAATTAGACGGAAGGCGAGAGCAGTGAGGTTTGGTTTCTGCAAGTGATTGTTAAAATGCATAAAATGCATGCATTTATCTGGAAGACCTTAAATCCCTTATTAAAAACTTATTACATGGGCTTCCCTGGTGGCGCAGTGGTTGAGAGTCCGCCTGCCGATGCAGGGGACACGGGTTCGCGCCCCGATCCAAGAAGATCCCACATGCCATGGAGCGGCTGGGCCCGTGAGCCATGGCCGCTGAGCCTGCGCGTCTGGAGCCTGTGCTCCGCAACGGGAGAGGCCACAACAGTGAGAGGCCCGCATACCGCAAAAAAAACTTATTACATAAAATTTCAGATTAGCTAATTATGACTTTGGAATCTTAACTTTTAAAAAGTTTCAAACTGGCAAAATTCAAATAAAGTGTGTAGTTAGTATTGTACCAATGTTAAGTCTCTGGTTCTGATCATTGTACTCTAGTTAGGTAAGATGTTGTCATTAGTGGAGGGCTGGCGGAGGGATGTATGGAAATGCCCTGTACCATTTTTGCAAATTTCCTGTAAATTGGAAAGTAGTTCAAATTAAAAGTCAAAAAAGTTTTCAGGCAATTTAGTTAAGAGTGATATCAAAGTTTTATTACAGTTGTGCTGCAAGGAAAATAGCTTCTAAGCAGCCAACTCAAGTATATACTCTTGGTAAGGATATTTTTATAAGAAAAGAGAATGGTTAAATCATCGTTAGACTAGATAGAAAGAAGAGAGGTTAACAGTCACTAGACTCTTGTCTGAGAGTCCGCTGGGAGAGTGGCTGGTTTCCCAGGCCAAGGCTTAATTCCATTAAAGCTCATTAGGAAATTGCTTAAGCATTTCATCAGGAACTTTCATTTCTTCCTAGTGGGAGGTTATGAATTACATCATGCAAAAAAGTTCTGCCCTAGACCAGGTTTGGGACAATTTTTCTTTCATACAACAAATTATCAACGCACATGTCAACAGGCAGTGTGCTGGGTGTCACGAAGGAGGCCAAAATGAGGAGGACACCATCTTTGATCTCGATGCTTCTAGACAAGGTAGGGCAAGTGCTGGGCAAGGACAAAATGCTATGGAGCACAAGGGAGAGGGGGATTAAGGAAAGGCTTCGTGGTTCTTGCAGCATTTGAGGGGCTGCAACTAGGGAGGTGTTCTGGGCAGAGAGAAAGGTACAGGAGCAAAGGTGTAGAGGCAGGATGATGGCAGTGTGTCTGGGGACTCTGACAGTCAGTTTGGCTGGAGGGGAACATTCAGAGATAGGCAAAAGGGAGGAGGAAAAGCCCAAAAAGTGACTCTAATGCCTCAAGGCAAAGAGAACTTAGGAGACTGTCCCATCCAATTTCCTCATTTCACAGCAGAGGCCAGTATGAGAAATTTTGTCAAGTCCCAACAGGTGGGGGTCAGGCAGATTGAAGGGTTCTGAGGATCTCTGTGCACTTTTGAGTAGGCAGCAGGGAAGGACAAGGAATAGGTAATGGACATTCAGAGAAGAGATGTCCAGTGAAGGCTTGATCCCAGGAAGACTTCTCGGAGGAGGTGGCAATAATAATGGGCCAAGGGGCATAACACTGACTGGGGATACTACTTACATAAAAGAGACTGTGATTCTTTTTGGCCACAGTAAATCACCCTGTTGCTTGTGTGTCCTCAGCCCCCACCTACTCCCCTTACCAAGCCTTTCTGGCTCCCCAGAGCAGCCAGAATAACCGTGGGGGCAAGGGAGAGAAGCTTCTGAAATGAGTCTCTTTCCTCTTAGAGCTGGAGGGGGCCTGAGAGGTTCCTGAGTGCAGCCTCCCGTCCCACACCAGCCATCCTCCCCCTCCTCAGACTGAAAGTTGCCACCCTCCTGATTTAAGGCTTGAGCACTCCTCTGACTAATATAATGATTACAGCTAACATATTGAATGCCAGGTTCTAGCTATTCCAAGCACTTTACAAATAGTATCTCAGTGAAACTTCACAAGTCTTGAAAAAGGGCACCAATATTACCCCCATTTTTCAGTTGGGGAAGCTGAGGTTTGGTTAAACCATTTGCCCAAGGGCTCTGGCGAGGGGCCACACTGGGAGTTAAACCCAGGCTCTGACAACCCTACTGTGCTGCTCCCTGCTTCCCCACCGCTCACTTTCCTCACTCCCCACCCGTCTGGAACCCTGGCCTTTTCCTCTCCTTTAGCCCCACCTCTACACCATGGTGGCACATTAGGCCTGAAACTGGACATCTGGTCAAGGAGAAGGAGGGGGGTCTTGGGAGTATCAGTTCACAAACTTCAAAGTGCTTTCTTTCTCCTACACTTTCTCATTTGAGCCTTTAAGACAGCCCTATCAGGTAGGATTGAAGTGACTTTATTTTCATCCCAAAGAAAAGGAAATGGGGTCTCAGAGAGCGATGTGACTTGCCCAGTAGCCAGAGGGACTGGAGTCCAGCGCTTGCCTGACTCTATCACACTTCCTCTCCCCCAGCCTGGCATCTCTTCCTTCTTGGGAGTCAGGCCCGGCACGGATGCTCCCTTAAATGAAATGAGGAGAAGCCACTAGGAGTCTTGAGCACAGGGGGAGCTCAAGACCCAGCTGTCCTGCTGTTTAGGCCAAGTCCAACTGTGGGGACTGAAGGCTTCTGGAACTGAGCACCAGAATGAAAGGGGACTTGGGAGTGAGTGACTGCGTCTGGAGACATGTCTGAAGCAAGAAGCCCCCTTCAAGGGGGCTGGCAGGAAATGTTGCGGCGGCAGTGGCAAGAGCTTGATCTCTAAATTCTTAGCCAGAGGGTGCTGGTCCAATAGTGGCTGGATTGGAGCCCTCTCTGGGGTTGGCAACTCTGCAAGGGGGATGATGCACTGGGAAATCACTGTGGCCTTAAGGAGCAAGACAGAAGGAGGCTCCCACCATAGGCCCCTAGCCTGACACAGAGGAATTGATCCTGAGGAGGCAATCCAACAGAAGCCAAAATCTATTTGCCTCAAGATGTTCCCTGCGATGTTACCAAGGCAAAAAACTGGGGGAAATATGCTAAGTATCCGGTGAGCTCTTCTGGCAACCCACTCAGTGGACTTTAACGGTAGAGTGAACAGCACAGAGAAAGGTTTGTGGTGTAAAGTTGTCTCCCCATCACACTGTGTCCTCTTAAGGATGACTCATAGGAACAATCTCTCTTTGTCCCAGTGCCAGGAAACTCTGTGTTTCTCCAGGACAGCTGCTTTGCTTTATCTTGATTTCTACATATCTGTCAGCTGACCACGTTTCCCTTTTAGCTTTGACTGTCGGGAAGCTCCAAATCAAATTTCTGGCTCATCAGAACTGTATGGCAGGGATTTTGTTTACTAACATTGCCCCTGGCTTTCTTTTCTTTCCTTCCTCCCAAACGGTCTTCTATTTATTAATAATCTTCATTTATTGTGTGCTGTATTTAAGAAAAAAAATTGGAATGGAATGGAGAGGAGAAAGAACAGGAAAGAGAAAGTAAAATGAAAAAAGCTGAGAGGAAAACGGTTTAGCATTCGTTTAGATTCAGCTGAAGAGCATCAATTCTACTGGTCTCATGGATATAAAAGGGTTGTGACACCTTTAACTGGTAAAGTTAGAAATCTCACAGATGATTGTTAAAAAAGGAAAATGCAAAATAAAATAATGACACGTGGGCTTCCCTGGTGGCACAGTGGTTGGGAGTCCGCCGGCTGATGCAGGGGACGCGGGTTCGTGCCCCGGTCCGGGAAGATCCCACGTGCTGCAGAGTGGCTGGGCCTGTGAGCCATGGCCGCTGAGCCTGCGCGTCCGGAGCCTGTGCTCTGCAATGGGAGAGGCCACAGCAGTGAGAGGTCCGCGTACCGCAAAAAAAAAAAAAAAAAGAGACGTCATTTTCCACCCAGAAAATTGGCAAAAATTAGTTCTGACAATACTCAGTATTGCTGTGGATGAGCACTAACAGTTTCTTCTATGTGCTGCTGGGGTTTGAACTGGCTAATTAGAATTTTGGCACGTGAAGATGCATTTACATGCGACTCAGCCTTTACACGCCTAAGTATCTAAACTGAGAGAAGCTTTTAAACGTGTTTGTTTGAGCATTGTCTGTAATAGCAAAATTAGGATGTATTCTAAATGTTGTCAAAGGGAGAATGAAAAGTAAATTGTGGTCTAACTTCACAAGAGACTATTATACAGCAATGAAAGTGAATAAATCAGAGCTCCCTGTACTGCTGTGGCCAAGGTGCAAAACACAATGGTGAGCAAAAACGGCAAACTGCAGAATGTTATGTAAGTGTGATTCCATTTCTATAAAGTTTTAAACGGCAAAACCCATCTTATACATTGTTTATGGGTCCAGATGTATGTTTTAAGGGTATAAAGACATGAATGGGAACAATAACCACTTGAGACACGCCAGAGATGAGGAAGAGGATGGTGACAGGGTGGGGGGCGGGTGTCGTGGGTGCTGGGTACACCGATGTGGATTCTATTATTAACTATTCTTTTTGGCATGCCTAAAATATCTCATTAAAACAAAGAAAAATAGTGTGAACACTGTCACCGCAACTGGGTAGCATGCTCTGCCTGCATCAGGACGAAGATGGGAAGGAAATGTGTGATAAACTGTCGTGTCGGGGAGGTAGGAGCCTGGGTGAGCATAAGTCCAACATCCGCTTTTTCACAAGCACGTGGGAAGGTGTCGCCTCTCTTGCAGGCTTCGTGGTCCAGGGCTCCAACGGCGAGTTCCCCTTCCTGACCAGCAGTGAGCGCCTGGAGGTGGTGAGCCGCGTGCGCCAGGCCCTGCCCAGGGACAAGCTCCTGCTAGCCGGCTCGGGCTGCGAGTGTGAGGCCTTAATGCCCCGGCCCTGGCGGTAGCTGCTGGGGGTGGGGGTGGGCTCCCTGACCTGGGGCTGGGTCCGGTCTAGTGCTTGCTCTGTCTCTTCTGCGCTGCGCCCCTTGCTTGCCCCAGGGTCCTAGCCCAGTCCTCTGCCTCCTGCCCTCGCCCACCGCGGCCTGTAGGGAAGACTTCCTCCTTCCTCCTGCAGCCACTCAGGCCACGGTGGAGATGACGGTGAGCATGGCCCAGGTCGGGGCTGACGCCGCCATGGTGGTGACTCCTTGCTACTATCACGGCCGCATGAACAGCGCCGCCCTCATTCACCACTACACCAAGGTGGGTGTGAGGGGTGGGTGTGGGCTTGAGGTCTGGGGCCAAGAGGAAGCTGGGTGAGGCAGAGATACTGCCTGGGGAGGGGAGGGGAGATGAGAGAAGCTGGGAGCAGAGTGGTGAGCCTACTTCCCATGAATGGCAGCGTTGGGAAAGGGGAGGGATGCCACCAGGTACCAGCTGTGTGACAGTGGGTGACTGACCTAACCAAGCTGTATTGCTGTTTCCTCCCCTCCCAAATGGGAGGAATAATGGAATCTTCCTCCAGGGTGGTTGTGAGGACTAAATTCAATCAAAACATAAAGGACTTAGAACTGTGCCTGGCACACAGAAAGCACTCCTAAGTGTTAGCCAGGACTAGTGCTTGCAATCAGGATGCATAGCACTGTGACTTCTAGCCCAGCAGGTGGGCCAGTCCAGGTAGCCCTGCAGAGACCCAAGCCCGGACCGCCTCAGGCCTGGGGCAGCTGCCCTCTCCTCTCTTCTCTGTGCCCCTCAGGTTGCTGACCTGTCTCCAATTCCCGTGGTGCTCTACAGTGTCCCAGCCAACACGGGGCTGGACCTGCCTGTGGATGCGGTGGTCACACTTTCCCAGCACCCGAATATCGTGGGCATCAAGGACAGCGGTGGTGATGTGAGCGGCAGCAGCTCTCGGCTGGGGCGCCCTCCTCCTCTTCTCTTTTGCTACCAGCTTCCGGGCAGCTCTGGGACCCGCTTCAGTCCTGGGCTCCTGTGTGTGTGGGTTCCCTCTGTCCTGTGGGCTCTCTGGGGTTCGTCTGAACTTTGAGGCATCTCTCTGGGACCTGGGCTCTCATGCTCCCACACTTGCCCAGCCCTCATCCAGGCTGGTGGCAGAGCCTGTGGGCCCAGCTCTCACACCAGGTTTGCCATTACAGGTGACCAGGATTGGGCTGATTGTTCACAAGACCAGGAGGCAGGATTTCCAGGTGTTGGCTGGATCGGCTGGCTTCCTGCTGGCCAGCTATGCCGTGGGTAGGCCTCTCACTGCTCTCAAACTGTGATGCGTAACCAAGATATACGCAGGCAGCTGTGTTCTGCTGGGAGAGATGGTGAGGGCCAGGATTGGGTGTAGAGGGGGCCTTTGCCAGCCTGCCTGCTCAGAAACCTCAGAGGTCTGGCACACTGCTTACTTATCTGAATAGTGGGTGCTTGTGAGTGACCTTGTTGGGCAGAGGAGGGTGGCTGAGTACAATCCCTGGCCTGTAGGGGGGATGCCTACAGTTTGCTCTAAGTCCCAGGCTCCCTGCTTAGGTGACAAACTTAGCTCCTTTAATCTCACCTTGTAAATCATTCTCTGAGGGAAGAGGCCTTGGGGCCCTTCCCAGTAGTCTGGGAGTGCATTTTCCTCTCTCCGTGGGTCCAGGCCAGAATGAATTGTCAGGCCTGTGGGGTTGGGCTGGGGATCTTCAGCTGCCTGATCAGACTCTGTTCCAGTCCAGGATCCTAGGAATGTCACCATTAGACCAACTGCTCTTATCTGCTTGGGGTCAAGGTCCTTGGGTTCAGACTGGATTTGAGCCATGGAGGTGAGGGAAGCATCTGCTCCCTTCAGCTGAAGCCCCAGTGAGTGTAGATTTGAGTTACTTTTCCAACGATGCAGGGGAAAATGCTGGTTCCTATTCTCTCTTGTCTCTGCAGACTTTGACTTGTAGTATAGGTCCTGCATAGCTCCCCTCTGCCTTGTCACAGTCTCTAAAGGGGAGAGTAGAAGGGACCCATTTATGCTTCATTCCTGGGAGTGTGGTAGGTGGAAATATCACAGGCTCTGGAAGTTGGGGATCTGAGCTGGAATCTGAGCTCTTTCATTTATTCACTGAGAACCAACAGGGCAAGGTACATGACCTTTCTGGACCTGAGTTTCTACTCTGCAAAGCGGGGAGGTGTTATGAGGATTAGAGAACATTTGACCTATGTCTGTCATAGTGCTCGGCACATAGTAGGTTTTCAATAAATGGCATCTATATTAGCTCATTCGAGCTATATTAGCATTAGCTTGAAATGCCTACTCTCTCTCCAGTCTTGAGGCCACTCTGCTTTGAGTCACCCCCTAACCAGCTTTGAAATCACACTCACAGGCTGGCAGAAGTGGCAGGAACCTCTGAGATCACAGCCAGGCCGTTTTCACTGCCCACATGAGAACAAAGAGAACCAGAGAGGGTTGATGACTTGTCCAAGTTCATGCAGCCAGTGGGAGGAAATGCCAGGTCTCCTGCCTATGTCTACTGCCCTTTCCCCTCCCCTAACCTCTCCCTCACTGCTGTCCCAGGCTGAATTCACTGGGGGGAATAAAATTTCAGTAGAGCAAAGGCTTCCCATCCACTCCATCCCCTTCCAGGGCTGATGAGTCAGGGGGTTATTGGAGGATCGTGGAGGTGTCAACTGGCAGGTGGGACTCTACTCTGCAGGGGGGTGGGGGGTGGAGGGAGGGGTGTGCAGGGAAGGAGCTGTCCTTGAGTTAGCCTTCAGGCTCTGCTCCCTGCCCCTCAGCCTGTGGGAGTCTATTTTGAATATGCTGGAAATGTTCTCTCTGGAAATCTGTACTCTGTGAACTCACAGAGCATGTCTCAGATACGGCTAACCAGTGGCCTAGAAATGCACAGCCTGTCTGCCCAGAACAAAGAGGCGCTGGGGACCAGGATTTGGAATTCTCTGCAGGCAGAGGCTCTGGCTGGTATTCTGCATCTTACTCTGTGGCAGGAGCTGTGGGGGGCGTGTGTGCCCTGGCCAATGTCCTGGGGGCTCAGGTGTGCCAGCTGGAGCGACTCTGCCTCACAGGGCAATGGGAGGATGCCCAGAAGCTGCAGCACCGCCTCATCGAGCCAAACACTGCGGTGAGTTCCCAGCCAATGGACCCAGAGTGGGGGTGGTCTGTGTCCTCATTGGAACAGGAGCCAGTGCTGGCACAGGGGTCCCCACTTGGTCTCTTCCCTTTCAGAAAGTCCTTTTAGAGAACATCCCAGTGTGGGAACTCTTTGTGCCTCCCCAGAAAATCTTGACTTTAGGAACCAAGTCAAGCCACATTGGTTCTCAAACTTACGTGTGCATTAGAATTCATTTAGGGAGCTGGTTAAAATTCTACTCCTTTAGGCTTAGGAACAGTCACTGAGACAAGCATCCTGGGTGATTGTGACATCAGGAATCCTGGAACCTTACTTAGAGATGCCCTGCCTAAAGAGAGGGAAACATGGCCCTTTATGTCAGCTTTATAAGGGGCCAGATCCTGAAAAATAGAATGATTGAGAGTAATAAAGGAGTGGGAAGGCTGGTGGTATTCAGAGCGCAGCTTTCCCAGGAAAGTCCTGTCTTCAAATAATCCATTCTGTAGTCAGACTGTGTACCCCAACTCTGCTGGGCAAGTCAAGGAGAAGAGGCAAGATGGAATGCTTGTCAGTTGCAGGCAGTGTTGTGCTGAGCCATATTGGAGTCTGAGGCATAAAGAAAAATGTGTGTCCCTGGAGACATGTTTTTATTCATATTTTAAATTAAACTTTTAATTTTAGGATAATTGTAGATTCACATGAAATTATAAGAAACAATACAGGGAGATCCCACGGGCCCATTACCGTGTTCCCCCAATAGTAACATCTTAAAAAACTATAGCATGAAATTACAGCCAGGATTTTGACATGTATACAGTCAAGATACAGAATATTTCCAGCACCATGAGGATCCCTCGTGTTATCCTTTTAGAGCCACACCTACTCACCTCCTGCCCCCACCCCCTCCTTAACCCCTGGCAATCACAAATATGTTCATTTTTATAATTTTATCAGTTCAAGACTGTTATATAAATGGAATCAGATAGCTTATAACCTTTTTATTTCCTCTATGAACAAATCTTTTTTGTTTTTTTTTAGTCTAACTTTTTGAGATTTGCTTTTTTCACTCAGCATAATTTTCTGGAGATTCATTCAGTCACATGTAAGCAATAGTTCCTTTTTATTGCTGCATAGTAGTTCATGGTGTGGCCATAAACAGCTTGTTTAACCATTCTCTTGGTGAAGGAAAGCTGGTTGTAAAGCTGCTATGTACATTTACGAACAGGTTTTTGTGTGACCATAAATTTTCATTTTTCTGGGATAAATAAACAATTGGTGGGTCATATGTTGTTTGCAAGTTTAGTGTTTTAATAAACTGTTTTCCAGAGTGAGTGCACCATATTGTATTTACATCAGTGTAAATGTATGCATGACCCAGTTTCTCTGCATCCTCACCAGCATTTGGTGGTGTGACTTTTTTTTTTTTTTGCCATTCTGATAGGCATGTTGTGACATCTCATTGTGGTTTTAATTTACATTTTTCTGTTGGCTAATGCTATTGAACATCTTGTCATGTATTTATTTGCCATCTATATATCCTCTTAGATGAAATGTCTGTTTATGTCTCTTGCCCATTTTCCAACTGGATTTTTTTTTTTTTTTTTTTTTACTGTTGAGTTTTGGAAGTTCTTTATACCTTCTAGATACTAGTCCTTTGTCAAAAATGTGGTTTGCAAAGATTTTCTCCCAGTCTGTAGCTTGTCTCATCATTCTCTTAACAGATCTTTTGCAGAGCAAAAGTTTTTAATCTTGAGGAAGTCTAATTTATCAATATTTTCTTTTATGTTTATGCTTTTGATGCAAGTCTAAGAACTCTTTGCCTAGCACTAGATTGTAAAGTTTTTCTATTTTTTTCCTAAAAGTTTTATATTTTACAAGCCTGTGACCCATTTTGAGTTAATTTTTGTAAAACGTATGAGACTTAGATCAAGGTTCATTTTTTTTTCTGTTCTTTTTTGGCCTGTAGATATCCGCTTGCTCCAGCACCATCTGCTGAAAAGATGGATCTTTCCTTTACTGAATTACTTTTGCACTTTTGTCAAAAATCAGTTGGGTGTATTTGTGTAGGTCTATTTCTGGATTCTCTATTCTCTCCATTGATCTATCCCTCTGCAGTACCATACAGACTTGATTATTGTAGGTGTGTAATAAATCTTAAAATCCGATTTTAAGATTTTAAGCTAGACTGATTCCTCCCACTTTGTTCTTTTTTTTCCCAAAAAATTGTTTTAACTAATCTAAATCCTTTGTCTTTCCATATAAATTTTAGAAAAATATTGTGTATGTCTATGAATACTTGCTGGAATTTTGATAGGAATTGTGTTAAACCTGTACACCAATTTGGGAACAATTGACATTTTTACTGTGTTGTCTTCAAATCCTTGAATGTGGTTATGTCTCCATTTATGTAGACCTTCGTTGACTTATTTCATCAGCATTTTGCAGTTTTTGGCAAACCAGTCCTATACAAGTTTTGAGAGATTTACACCCAAGTGGCTCATACTTTTTGAGCGATTATAAATGATATTGTATTTTTAATTTCACTATTCATCTGTTCATGTATAGAAACACAGTTGATTTTTGCTTCTTTATGTTGTATCATATGACTTTGCTGAACTCACTTATGGGTTCTATGAGATTTTTTTCTATATTCCTTGGGATTTTCTACATAGACAATCATATCATCTACAAATAGGGGATGTTTTATTTCTTCCTTTCTGATCTGCATACCTTTTATTTCCTTTCTTGCCTTATTGCACTGGCTAGAACTTCCTGCACTATGTTGAATAAGAGTAGGGAGAGTGGACATCCTTGCCTTGTTTCTGATCTTAAAGAAAAGCATTCAGCCTTTCACCATTAAGTGCAATGTTAGCTACAGGTTTCTGTAGATGCTCTTTTTCAAGTTGAGGAAGTTATCCCTCATTTTAGTTTTCAGAGAGTATTTAAAAATCATGAATGGGTGTTTAATTTTTGTCAGATTTTTTCTGCATTGACTGATTTGATCATGTGATTTTTTTTCCTCTTTAGCCTGTTAATATGGTAAGTTACATTAATAATTTTCAAATATTGAACCAGACTTATATCCCTGGGATAAACCCCACTTGCACATGGTGTATAACTTTTTATATATTGCCAAATTCCATTTGTTAATATTTTATTAAGGCTTATTCCTGCCTATATTCATGAGAGATGTTGGTATGTAGTCCTTTTTCTTTCTTCCTTCCTTCCTCCCCCCCACCTCTTTCTTTCTTTCTTTCTTTCTTTCTTTCTTTCTTTCTTTCTTTCTTTCTTTCTTTTCTTTCTTCTCTTTCTTCTTTCTTTTCTTTCCTGTCTTTGTCTGATTTTGGTATCAGGGTAAAAATAACTTCATTATTTGATTGGGAAGTGTTCCCTCCTCTTCTGTTTTCTGGAAGAGGCTGTGAGAATTGGTGTTAAGTCATCTTTAAACATTAAAAAACAATTCTCCATTGAAACCATCTGGGCCTGGAGATTTCTTTTTTGGGAGTTTAGAAATAATCATGGCTCCACACTAGGCCTCTATGGATACCTCACTAGCTGGAAGGGGTAGAAGTGCCTTCTTATTGCTACTCGTGTGGCCTCCACTAACACCTTTTTTTTTTTTTTTTTTTTGTGGTACGTGGGCCTCTCACTGTTGTGGCCTCTCCCATTGCGGAGCACAGGCTCCGGACGCGTAGGCTCAGCAGCCATGGCTCACAGGCCCAGCCGCTCCGCGGCATGCGGGATCTTCCCGAACCGGGGCACGAACCCGTGTCCTCTGCATCGGCAGGCGGACTCTCAACCACTGCGCCACCAGGGAAGCCCTTGCATTTTTTTTTTTAATATTGCATTAAATATTTGTCTTGTGACTGAGTTTTGCCTCTGAGGCAATAGTCCCAGACGGAGCTTGGCAATGTTTTCTTTGGGAAAGTGGTGGGCGGGCTCTAGATCTCCCTCACAGCTTATATCTTTACCTCAAAAGGACAGATTAACTCAGATTTAGAGAAAGGACAGCTGAGGAGGCAAGCACGAGTTTCCCTGGATGTGAAGGTTCTCCTGGAATAGGACGGGCTACAGATAGGGTGTAAGAATTGCAGAAATGAGGGCCTTTCAGCTGAGCCCCATCAGGGCCCAGGCTGTACTATACATTCTGACATTCCACTGGGGTGGGACCTCTGCTCTCCCACTCCCATCTGCCTGTGAGAGAGAAGGTCCCAGAACCTGCAGACCATCCGGATAGGAAGAGGAGGAGTTTCCAGGCCGCTCGAGGTCTGGCCTAATAGTGGCATTTTTCTCATCCAATTCTTGTGACATGGGGTAGATGTTGTTACCTCCTAATTTGATAGACGAAGCAGCTTGGGCTGTCCTTTGGGAAGAGAGGATACTTGCTGCCTTCCTAGTCCTTGGCATGCCATCCTGCCTTACCCTTCACTCTGCGCCCCGTCCTGTGCCAACTCTGGGCACACACTCAGGAATGTCTGGAACACCTTTCTGCTGCCTGGGCTGTAGACTCAGCCACCCCAAGAGCAGCTTGATGTCACCTTATTGCCCTGCCCTGCTTGAACACAATGTGCGTCCACTGCCCTCCCACCTAGCCAGCCTCCTGCCCAGGCTATATTTAGGATTTTCCCTGTTTTTTACGTCCAAAGTGTTCAACCCTTTCTCAGCATCTGAAGAGGGGCAAATCAGAGATCTTCAGACCCTTATGTGGAAGAAAGCTTTCCTCTAGGTACTTCTTGTTTCCATCGTCTTTCCCACCCTAGTCAGGTTTTGGGTGAAATGCTCAGGTTATTAGAACATGATGGGGGCCAGGCCTGGGAGGAGGCTTGCTAAAGTCTACTGGCCTCTAGTGGTGAATAGTTATTAGTCAGTCATTCATCAGTGGTTCCCAACCTCTTTACCCCAAACAACCTCTTTTATTAGTTTTACCCTTCATGAAGCCCATATTTCTAAGATTTTACTTCCCTCAAAATGAAACTTTATTAAGTAATAATTACTTTCTTAGTTTTTAGGTAGTCAAAGATTAATCTAACACTTCCCATCAGCATGAAACAACCCATTGCTATGCTAAACACAAAGAAACTTGATTCTTCATTTTCTGTAAAACTCCATGCATGATTTTAAATTAGATCTCCCACTACAATGGAAAAGACTTTAGAGATCGTGTTATCCGGCCCCCTCGTGTTTTAGGCAAGTGAACTTGCTCAGAGATAAGTTAATGATACAAGGTTACAGAGTGAAACTTCGGACAAGGATGCATTGTTTTCCCTGTGAGAGCATTTGGAGTTGGGGTCAGGGAGGAGCTATGGGTGCATGGGGAGGGACCCTGCTGCGGGGGCAGTAGAGGTCTGGGCTGTTCCGACTCTCCACTCCTGGTGTGCCCTGAGTCAGGTTCCAGGGAACTGGGCTGCAGACCAGTGAGTCTCTACCGCCCAGACCCACAGCGCTCCTGCCTTCTCCCATCCCAGTTTGAGGACCGAATGCCACGCTCCTCCCCGATGGGGTGGATTTCTCTCCTAAAACCAAAGCAGGTGCCTTCCTTCATTCTAGGTTTTGGCATTGTGTTCTCTATTGCCCACCTGCCCACCCTGGGTGTCATAGATTTGGTAGTTAGCTTACCGGGAGGGAAGGGTGGGAACCCTAACTTTCTGCAAGTGACACATGTCTGGGTCCCAGATGTGTGTGTGCAGGGGACTCCCCAGTCTCTTCTAACAGGCCCTGCTCCTCAGGTGACCCGGCGCTTCGGGATCCCGGGGCTGAAGAAAACCATGGACTGGTTTGGCTACTACGGAGGCCCCTGCCGCGCCCCCTTGCGGGAGCTGAGCGCCGCCCAGGAGGAGGCGCTACGCCTGGATTTCACCAGCAACGGCTGGCTCTGAGCGTGAGGATGGGACGGCCGGACCGCGCCCATCCCATCCCTGCTGCCTTGCGGTAGCAGCCTGAAGAGGAACGCGGGGGGGACGAGGGTTCAAGGCCCCTCTTCTTACTTCAGTCATCCAGGTAGCCTCTCTCCAGGCGCTGCCATGCACGCTCGTTTCCTGTTCTCCCGGCCCCATGACCTCTCGCATTTGTATCCTAAACTCTGGGTCTCTAGAGACCTTCGGTCTGGGAAGGAGCAATGACTTACTTGTCTCTCTACTGTGCTTTTCTATCCCCTGAGACATGTGAACCAGGAGCCAGAGGGGAAAGGCCATGGTGGGGGGGGGCAGTTGGGCACAGAAAGGCCATGTTTTACTGAAAGGAAGACTGCTTAGACTTGGGGGTACAAACCTGAGTCCGGCACAGTGCAGCAGGAAGCCAGGGTGACTCCTGAGAACCCAACTTCTGACTCCTTCCAGGGGAAGCAATAGGTTGGGAAACCGGATCAGAAAGGTGCCACTGGTCTTTCAAAGACATCCCCCCCCCCCAAAAGCTGCATTCTAATCCTTTCCTAAATCTATTTTGATCGATCTCATATTGTCTCTAGCCTTGATCCCAACCATCATGTACACCAGTGAGACAGCCCAGTGGCTTGCCAGAACTGGTAAATAATGACACCTGGTGGATAAATGTTACATTCTAGAAGGCTATTCTAGCCAACCCAGGTCTGAAACATTAGGAAAGGGGACTTGGCCTGAGACAGGACCATCCTCTTGCCTATACACACTCTGCTTTTATTGTTAGGAACAATTACTTTGTTACTGCAATAAAATTGAATAAGTTAAATTAGTGTGGCTATGTACAGATTAACACTCCACTGCTATGCAGATCTTAGGTTTCCAGCCCAGATATTAAGAACCTTCCCAGAGGCAATTTAGCTCCCAAGGTCTGCGTTTTCCCAGGTCTGAGAGGGGCCCTAAGAATACTGAGCAAACATAACCATTAGATTATTGGAGGCCTAGGGAAAAAGTTATTGACGTTTTAAATGGTAGAGGTAAGAGGCAAAAAGGTTCAAGTGAGATATTTAGAAACACTTAGCACATTCATTTAAAAGGCTGCTTTCTCTAAAATGTTCAACCTTGGGAATTCCCTGGCGGTCCAGTGGTAGCAATCGGCGCTCTCACTTCCGAGGGCCTGCGTTCAATCCCTAGTCAGGGAATTAAGATCCCACAAGCAACGCGGCAAAAAAAAAAAAAAAAAAGTTTAACCGTATTCAGTGATATCTGACTAGTGGCAGAAAACCTGAGATGAATTTTTAAAAAACTACTCCCATTTAAAAGAAAGGTAAACAGATCCTTGTTTAGGGCAAGGGCTAAAGGAGAGAATATAAAAGGTATCAATCTTCAGCAGAAACTGGACATCTGGTTGGCACTGAAGCTTGGGGCTTAGCACCTGGGCTCCTCTCACAGGCAACTCTTGGAAGATCTGGGCTCAGAGGAGAATCAGGTTTAGGGATGGGGCAAAAAGTAAGGGCTAGGGAGGCAGCCTAGTATACTGGTGAAGAGCTCAGTCTCTGGGATTTCCATTCTTGGATTTGCACCTTAGTGTCTGCAAGACCCTGGAAAACTATAACTGCCCTGAACCAGGGATAATAATGGTACCTTCCTCTCAGGGCTTATAAGATCATGCAAGTGAATGGGTTAGCATGGAAGGTGAATGTTCAGAGAAAGTCTTGCCTGAAGTAACCCAACAGGTGTGACAATAAATGGTCTCAGGACTTGGGCACCCTGACGTTCAAGGTGATGAGGAATTCAGTGGAAAGTGCTTTGGAGTCAAAAAGTCCCAGATACAAATCCCACCCAGCTCTGCCACTTACTAGTTTGGGCAACCTGAGCCTGCCTGGCTTTTTTTTTTTTTTTTTTTTTTTTTGCAGTACATGGGCCTCTCACTGCTGTGGCCTCTCCCGTTGCAGAGCACAGGCTCCGGACGCGCAGGCTCAGCGGCCATGGCTCACGGGCCCAGCCGCTCCGCGGCATGTGGGATCTTCCCGGACCGGGGCACGAACCCGCGTCCCCTGCATCAGCAGGTGGACTCCCAACCACTGCGTCACCAGGGAAGCCCTGCCTGGCTTTTTTGTGTGTGTTTTTTTTATAATGTTCCTACCTTGCAGAATTAGATGATATTATGTTGTAAAGTGTGCAGTGTCCGTTTCAAGCCCCCATCTATAATTAACTTTTAGAAACAGCAGATGGGTCAATATTCATAAGGGTGTACAGCAAGAGAGTCAAGAAAACTAAGTATAGGCAGTTCCGGTGATTTGTTTATTCCTCATAAACACTTGTTTCTACAGTACAATTCAGAGAATAAATAGAGGCACACGGCTCTAATTTCCACCACAATCTGCTGCTGAGGAGACATTCAGTGTGAAGATAAGGGGCTGGGCGGGGGGCATGTTTGGGTCACAGGGTAACTGGAGGCCTCTGTGATGAACTGTGCAGGGATCCAGTCGATCAAGATCTGATCCCTAGGCCTGATGGCCAAGGCTCATGGTGGAAGAGTTACAGTGAACCAAATGCTCTTTTAGTTCACTGCCATCCCAAGATGGGTCCAATTCTACCTGAACCCCAAGGGGTTGAGGTGGGTCTGACCTACTGGTCCACTGGGAAGCAGCTGTGTCAGCCCAAGCCATCCTTAAGGATTTAGTTCACTCCATGACAGGGCCTGATGGGACCCACAGATATCTGCCCTTGCCCTGGAGTTAGTTATAAATACAAGTTATGACTGTTTATATCGTTTCTTTCTGACTAAAGGGATCCTTTCCCATGTCTAAGGAAGGAGAGAGGAGCACAAATTATCTGTTTGTAAAGTCAAGGGAGAGGGAAATAGCATTCACTGAACCCTTCACAGGAGCAATAAGCAGACACGAGGACCAGTCTGGTCAGACAAAGTGGAAGGCCTGGGGCCATGATGCCAACCAGAAGCGAATGCAGGGGTAACATACAGAACAGCTCTGGCCTTGACTTTCACAGGACCGCTGTACTGTCTGAGCCACTCCTATCGTTTTCCTTATTTCTCCAGGGCAGCACAGAGCACTGGCCCTAATCTGGGGCTGGGATCATCTGCCCCGAATAGAGGCAGAAGGAAGAGACTCTGTATCACTTGGCAGAAAGTGAAGTAGAAGGCAGCAGCGGGTCTGCACCGGGTGACCCACGGTGTCAGGGACAGAGAGTACCAACGAGCGACAGAAGGGCAGGGCACACCGGGTACCACTGCTGCGAGGCCAGCGGCCTGAGCCTCAGACCTTCTGTAACCGAAGCCCTGCCTGGCGGGTGACGGGGCCCCTCCCGGGACTTCTGCTCCACGGTCATTCTCATCTCCTCTCACATCGGATTCTTTTGTTCACCCCCAGCGGGTGGCGGGGCGTTGCTGTCAGCTGGGCGCAGCGCCACATCAGGCGGTGAGGCTCCGGGCTGACTTGGAGGCGCTCTGGGCCCGCTGAACCACCGCCGAGCACTTCTCGCGCCGCAAAAGCTTGTTGTTCTCGAACAGACCTTCGTTGCGGGGTATTCCGTGAGAACCATCAGGGAAAGTCAGCAGGCCTTTGAGGGGGACAGAGAAAATATGGGTGTGACAGTGGCATTAGTGGCTGGGAGGTCTGCTTGCTACATAGAGGCGGAGGGAGAGAAAAGTTTACAGCCCTTGGGTACTCTATTGGTGAGTCCGATGACCCGGCATTGGCGCCCAGTCACTATGCATTGCTGGGCATCCACAGGAGGATTAAAGCTGCAAAGGTGTCCTTCCACCCATTTATGCTTGTCAGTCACCTGTCCTGCTGGCCCGCAACTTACCCAAACCATCCACTCTGCCGTTTTTAAATTCCCCCTCAAAGGTCATGTTGTCATGTCGAATGAAGACTCCGACGCCGTTGAACTTGCCCTGGGAAAACTCCCCCTCATACCTGCAGAAACACGAGATGTCAGCCTTCAGGATAACTGAGTCAGGCAGCTGCTAACACCAAATATGTGGTTTATCAACGCCAAGGAGCAAAGCTGATTCCACTCTTCCAGAGCTCCCACCCCCCCACCCTCGCAGCAGAGAAGGGTCAGAGAGTGTGTATGATACGAGGCTCTAATCTCAAGGAAATAACCTAAGAGGACAGTGGTGGGGTGGGAGGTCACTGACCTCCTTGCCATTTCAAATTTTAGATGTATTTATAAAGTAACCAATAAAAGAACAAACGCTACTCCTTGCCTGTTTTCAGAGGGCCCGGGACAAGCTCAGGTTTGACCAGATGTTTCTCACTATCCCTTTTAGAACAGAACTTCCCTAGTTTAAGGCTGAGAAAGGAATGATGACCCAGTACCCACCTCGAGCCATCTGAGAAGGTTAGTACCCCGAAGCCATTAAAGAGCCCATTCTCAAAATGGCCCAGGTAGGTGCCACCGTCTGCAAACATCAGTTGACCAAAACCATGTCTGCGGCCTGAGCAAAGAGAAGACAGGTGTCAGGTTGGGATGGGGCAGCTTCAGGGTCCCCTCTCACAGTCCAATATCCCTTGCCTTGCATCACCCCATCCACAAAGGAAAGAAGAGAAGCAGTGACATTAGCAGGGCAGAGAACTATTACCCAGAGTAATAAGCTGGCCTCTAAGATCTTCCCTTCTTAAGTCACAACCATCAGATTTGGAGCAGGTCTCTCCAAGTATGAAGATAAGAGAGCACTGAAAAATCACAATAGCTTAAAAAAATTTTTAAATAAAAATCACAATAGCTAACTTCACAGGACCTTCACTATGTGCCACGCACTCTTCTAAGCACTTTGTATTTATCATCTTATTTAATCCTCACAACAACCTTAGGAGGTAGGACCAATACTATTATTATTCCCATTAACAGATGCAGAAACCAAGGCAAGGAGAAGATAAAACACTCAAGATCACAGAGCAACTAAGTGGTAGAGCAAGACAGCAAATGCAGCTGGCAGACTGACTCTGGAGCCCTCGACACTTAACTGCCTTGACACTCTGAGAAAAAAATTAAAGTACCCTCCGACACCATGAAGCTGCTGGGCAAACCTAACAGCCTGACTGGCAATACTAGTTTGAGCTTTGCTCCATCAACAGGGCTGTGCTTACCCACTGAACTGACCAGAGAACAGAGCAAGATACTGGAGAAGCAGCAATGCCATTCCGGGTACAAGGGCGTTCTTTTGGTGGATAGAGACTGCCCAGCAGAGCCTCGAGAAGACTCGCCTCTTAAAAGGTCACATTAAAGGGTACGGTAGGTGTTTGGGAGGCAGGAGAAAAGGCTGGGGATGTACGGAGGCAAGGTCACGTCCCATGTGCACAATTTCTCCTCTCAAGGCTCAAAAATTCATCAGCTGCAGGGATCTACCATGAAAAGAATGAGGCATCTGGAAAGGCTGTGAACTGCTCTTCGTTGGCACAACTATAGAGAGTCAAGTCTCCTCGGGGCAGTTCCGGGTTTGCTGGGACTGGACCCATGAGACTTTAAAGTGGCCAGACTGTTTCCAAACTGAACATCATTAAAGTGCTTCCTGTATAGCCTCAGGCTTGAGGAATTCTGCCCTTCCTATGAATAGATATTTCCAAATGTAATGAGCTGTCACAGGAAATTCAAGGCAATGAATGTCATCTGCTCTTGAGTGTCTGCCCTAATTTCTTCCTTAAGATTCACTAGAATCAAGTCATTACAATGAATCTGTACTTTGCAATTTATGGGCCCTAAAAATAATTCATTTTGCTCTGCTGAGTATGTTAGCATTTATAAAAACAATTCCCAAGTAATACCACTAAAGGATAAAAGAGTGTTGGGGGGGGGGGGCTCCTGGCAGGCCAGTGCTCTGCTGAGTATGTTAGCATTTATAAAAACAATTCCCAAGTAATACCACTAAAGGATAAAAGAGTGTTGGGGGGGGGGGTCTCCTGGCAGGCCAGTGGTTAGGACTCGGCACTTTCACTGACATAGGCCCAGGTTCAATCCCTGGTTGGGCAACTAAGATCCTGCAAGCCACGAGGCATGGCAAAAAAAAAAAAAAGAGCGTTAAATCACTTTCAATTTAGAAGTGGGAAGATTTAACTTATTTCTGGAGATTGGAGTAACAATAGCATTTTCCAATTCCTTTATTTATAATCCTAAAATCAAATAAAGGAAAGGCACTCTTTGGCTTTAGAAGTTAGAAATGAAAACTCATAAAGTTGTCCTATATATATCCTGATGTATTTGTCCTTCAGCCAACGAAGTGTTCATTACTGGATGTTCCCCACGGGTCCTCTCACCCTCCTTCCACTCGCCACGATATTCCTCCCCACTGGAGTAGGTGAAGGAACCTTTTGTCAGGGTCATGGTGACAGCTTACAGAAGGATGAAAACTGCAAGAAATAAGCAGAGGAGAACCAGTGTCATAGGATGGCTGGAGGAAAGGCCTGTAAAGCAACTTTATAGATACCTTCTAAAGGCTACCAGCCTGTTAAGTGTAAACTACCTTGAGTACATTTAACAAAAATCCCCCCCTCTCCAACCACCACCACCATCATCGCCACCTCTGCCCAAGCAGTCTTATCCTCCTACTTGTCTTAAGTCTTCAGCCGGCACAGCCCAAGGAAAGGCCATGTGAGGCCATGACCAGGAACAGGGTCCTCATCGAGAATCCAACCACGCTGGCGCCCTAATCTCAGCCTTCCAGCCTCCAGAACCGTGCCTGTGGCTTCAGCCACGAGGTTGGTCTGGGGATTGGCCTTAAAAAACCTCTAAATCTCAGGGACTTCCCTGGTGGCGCAGTGGCTGAGAATCTGCCTGCCGATGCAGGGGACACGGGTTCGAGCCCTGGTCTGGGAAGATCCCACATGCCGCGGAGCAACTAGGCCCATGAGCCACAACTACTGAGCTTGTGCGTCTGGAGCCCGTGCTCCACAACAAGAGAGGCCGCGATAGTGAGAGGCCCGCCCACCGCGATGAAGAGTGGCCCCCACTTGCCGCAACTGGAGAAAGCCCTCGCACAGAAACGAAGACCCAACACAGCCAGAAGTAAATAAATAAATAGATAGATAGATAAATAAAAAAGTCTTCAGCCGGTTCCAATTTTCTAAGACCTGGGATGGAAATTTAGGATTAATCTGTAAATATTTGCTTGATACCTACAATGTGCTTAGTCAATGTATAAAATATAGTCTCGTTCCTCGATGAGTTTATAATCTAGCTGATAAGACTAACAACTGAAACACTGAATAATAGGAGAGATAATATAATTAAGTGCCAAACTGGATGGCAGAGATTACAAAGACAAGGGATGGGCAGAATTTAAAACAAGCAGTGAAGGACGCAAAGGGCAATGCCAGACTGAGAAAACATGGGGAATGAAAGCACAACAGTGGGAATTAAGAAGCCGGGTCTTATTCGAGTTGAAGGTTTATTTAGGGAGTAACAGGAAACAAATTCATCTATGTACACCCAGCCTAAATCTTAAATCTGAAAAGAACCTCTCAGATTTAATCCAAACTCCCTCATTTTGGAGGGAGAAACATTTGGAGAAAACAGAAACCCCAAGAGGTTAAAAACTAGTTAGTGAACAATGATGATGATGGAACTCATGCCCATGCCTCCCCTGACTGCTGCTTGTTCTTTTTCCCCTGTACCATGTGCTCTGCTTTTAGGGTCAGGCCAGCTTAAGGAGACCTTTGAAAGCTAGGCAGAAGGGTTGATAGCTGATAAGGTATGGAAAAGAAGAAACCTCTGGGGGTTATAATACGAAATATGAAAGCAGAGTCTAAGGAAAATGAATGTGGCAGAAGGAAGCAGGATGGGCTGGAACAGCAAAAGCCTACAGCCAGAAAAGCTGCAAGGCAGGAGATGTGATCATTTAGTCAATTGTAAAAATGGGCACAAAGTGTTCTCCCTCCATCCATGCCCTTGCAGACATGGCAGATCCTCCATTAAGAGGCAGCTTATTTATTCCTCTGCCTGTTGGATCTGGGTGGGTTATCTGACTTGCTTTCGCTAATGGAACATTAGCAAAGGTGACGTAGCAGAGGTTTGAAAAGCATTTGTTTGTTGGGCTTGCTCTTTTATTGCACTTGGAATTGTTCTGCCTCCATGTGAATGAGCCCAGGCTAGTCTGCCAGATGGTGAGAGGCCACATGGAGCAGCTGTCCCAGCTGACCACAGATGCATGGGTGAGCTCAGGCAAGACTAGAAGAGCTGCCCTCCTGAGCCCAGCCCCAAATTACTGACCCACAGAATCACGGACTAAAGAAATGGTTGTTGTAGCCACTATGTTTTGGGGATGGTGTGTAATAACACACCTAGCAAAAGCTAACTGATATACCCAGGTATGAGATCATAAAGCCTGAACCAGGGAGATAACAGGGTAATGGGAGCAGGAAT